ATTCCACCTGAGCTATCCCCAAGTGCAGGTGATGGCAAGGACAGCAATGCTGTAGCAGGTGACAATTAGCAGTATCCACCCTGCTGGAGGAAGGACTCATGAAACATCCTAGTGCTTTGCCTTGGTGGTCAAATGAGCAAGCCTGGGAAGGGAACAAACTACAGATCAGTACAATCAAAAGGTAAGTGGCTACCAACACACCTCTCACTTCTCCCAGCCTGGGCTGCAGTGCCAGTTGTTACTTTAGGAGATTTTTTCTATGTAACAGTGCAAAAACAGGCTGACTTCCCAAGAACTGCATATGCACTAACTGGGCACAGTGGTTCCATTACTTGCTTCCTTCAGCAGATTCCATTCAGCCCCTGAAACCAGTGCCAGTCCATGCAACAGCTCCATTTCCCCACTTCCATTTACCCTTAGGAGCAAAGGCAGTCCAACTTCTCAGGGGAACAGCAGAGGCAGAGCTGTCCTCCCCAGTACCACACTGCAAGCTGTCCACAGCACAGCTGGAACTGCCTTTGCAACAAGTCTGTAACATGAGGATGAAACCCCCATTAAATACAGATGGCAATCACCAAATGCAGTGGCAGTGCTGCTTTTAATAACCATAGGCCTCCCTTTGAGGTGTAAGAGCCACCTGCAGCAGCAGCTGAAGAGTGGTTCCTTCTCCAGCCTTCTCCATGGGAGCTGCCTCCTTCCTACTGCTAATCAAAGGTTGCCCCAGTAACTCTCTTTGCACCACTTCTCCTCTGAGCACACAGATGCAGTCCCAACCTCTCCCCTTTCTTGTAATATTCTTAATTAGAGTGGAAAGACTTGGAAAAAAGAAAGGGAGCAACAGAAAAGTTTTAGTCTACAAGTTTATTACGGAGCTAGTTTGCTTCAGCAGTACAGAGAAAAATAGACCCAAAAGCTACCCCCCTTTAAAAGCACTTGTTGCATGGGGTAATTTTACCACTTATGCTGTAAACTGTAAGGGGGCAGGGCAATGGGAACCAAATAAATACTCCCCATAGCAGTGTTTAACAATGGCTTTTGGGTCACTCTAGTTTAATGCTCTTACTGCCAGCTCCCACTTGTGCAGCTTGTAATGGCCTATGGTTAGAGCAAAATATTAATTGCAGCAGCATCAGCAAGGAAAGCTACTTACTCAGCATCAATGCACTAAAATGTCCAAACACAGGGAAGAGAGAGGAAGGAACAAGACCACCACACACACTGTAGTACAGAGTGTTTGTGAGGTCGTGTATAGGGGTTCGTTATTCTTTAATACCTGGACATCCTGTAAAGCAAGAATAGATCTGAAAACCTGGGGTTGTGTGCCCATGCACAGCTGCTGCACTAACAGCAGAGTATCAACTCACTGCTGCCAAATGAGAAGCTCCAAGAGAATTATTGCTCCTCAGTGGCCTGTAAGACACAGCAATATAGGCCAGAACATACTATAAGAAAGGTTTTTTTTTAAGTCATAATCATCTGGCACTGATTTTCTTACTAGTCTGATAATAACCATTATCAGCCACAAAGACAAATCAAACTGGCAAATACCTTGCACTAGTTTATCATACTTACATTAAATCCTTCAGTAACCCATCTGTGATGAGACAGAGACCATCTGCAGGCAGATGGCTACAGTCCAGTTTCCCAAAGCAACAACTAATCAGAGCAGCAGCAAGTCCCTTGGTTACACTTTACTGCCAAAGGCGAAGATGTGAGCAGGTAAATCACATTAGATAGGTGTAACATGAGCTCTTGCTTCCTCAAATGTATTGCTACTTAAACATGACCTACACATTCTGCTTGTGACCTTCAATCTGCAAGAAAAATTGTAATTTCCTAAAAAAAAGAGTATCTAAATGTATTACCTTCTGCACCAGAACTGCCAATTTATCATAAGAATCACAAGTAAGTAGTACTATTCACAAGTAGTACTATTTGGACAACCAGGACACAAAGCAAGATTTCTAAAAATATTTACATCAGTACTTTACATTCTAGAAATATTCCTAATACCTTCAGGTAAGAAGTTCACTGGTTCTTTAACTAACAGAACAGACAGACCAGCATTCACACGTTCCTTGTTTTTTTCCATCTGCCCATGCCCTTTGTAGACATTTTTGTAAGTCAAACCATCAACTCTACAAGCACTTCCAGGCAGGTTTTCAGCTTCACTGAACTTTGAGGAGATGCAAATAAAAACACAAGGTACAGATCACCGTAACATTCAAGACTGGACTGTAAGAATGACAGCTGCTACTGGTAACTCCTCACTCCGTTCAGTGCCCTGTAGGAAGGAAGTCCTACAGCAGGCACACACCTGCTGGACAACCATGGAGTGGCTGCTGCACTACTCTCAGTTCACAAGTGCTTGTCACAGCCTGCCTCCTGCTTTTCACCACAGTAGCATGACCTGCTTCAGCTACCCAAATGCTAAAAGAAACAGCAGGATTATCACAAAATATTTCTTAGTTAGAAATGCACACTTTATTTCAATGCGCCAATAAAAAAAGCCCAACATTTCCAGATCACAGAACATTAACACAAGTTTTGCATTAGTCTACTAAGAAGACTTTCAAAAGATCCAGATTCATGCCAATTGTTAGTCAATAGAAACAACATTCTAGGACTAAGCCCTTACATTTATAAAGACATCACAAAATCCCTTATAATAATGTAAACAAAATAAATTTTTTTCTTAAACTTTAAATTTGAATCCATTCTTTCAGGACTTGCACTTCTTCAAGGGCTTCCTGATGGTGAATGACTGAAAAGGGAAATAAAGAGATTAAGAGCAACTCCTACAGCAAAACCAACAGAAACTGTGCATGCTACCCCAGGTTTCCTCTGCTCAGGAACCCTCTGGCCCAGCCTCATAATGCACCTCCCCACATTGTTTTAATTTACAGTTCATAGATAACAAGAAAACTGTTATATTTTACACCTTTATAAGTAACAACTGCTTTAAGCTTGAAAAGGGCAGGTAAAATAAGAGACACAAGCTGCGACAGCTAGGTGAGACATCTAGCCTGCTCAGAAAGCACCTGGAGCCTGTGCTCCAGCTGTGCAGAGGAGTACTTAATCTGCTGTAACTTACTGGTTCCAGTTTAGTGCTCGCCATGAGGCACTACTTCAGACTACATCAAATGCAGCACATAATTCTCTGGTTACATAGCAAAACCTGGCAGCTGTGCAACTGAGTGAGAGCCAGCTGTGAGGAGCCAGCAGCAGGAATTTCATCCTGCCACATGTTCATGGTTTGCTCCATACCTTGTATTACTCACTTCTTCCCCAGATTCTAAATTTAAGCTTTTATCCTTGTACAAGTTAACTTCTATAGCAACCAGTTGAGACACTAGTTCTATTTAACCGTATGGCACACTCCAGTTTTAAGATATTCCTACCTTCTCTTTGGAGATGGTGATCTGGACTTTGAGCGACTGTTCAAAACAAAAAAAACAATCCATGCTGTAAATACTCAGTAACCACTTTTGACCATTTCTAAACAGTAAGGACGGTTTGATGTTGTTAAACGCATTAAAAGATACCACCCCTAATGCTGCTGATAGCAAGTATATCAAATTACTTTAAGCGAGAAGCTGCAGTTGAGAAGAACGACTGAAAGCTGAAGCCCTCGGGAAAAGAGCAACACACAGCTTTAAAGCAGCTATAAAATGATCACAGTAATCCTGCAAAGCAGGAGCAGTGAATCAAGTAGAAAAGAGTCAGGAAGACTGAAAACTGCAGACAGCTGAGAACAAAGGAAGGGAAAGATATGCCCCAAATTCTGTCAAAAATACTTGTTGTCACAATCATGGGTTAAACAAAAACATGTATTCACAATCCTTCTGAAAGAATTGCCTACTGTCTCACAAAAAAACCCACAAAAATAGGGTACGAAAACTATATTGAAATCAGGTATTAAAAAAGAAAAATAATCATAAACAAAAAACCACCCTCTTCCACATGCAGCTGAAATACTGGTTCAAACAGAGATTTTGAAACATGACAACAACAAAAAACCAACCAAAAACCAACCAAACACAAAAAACCACCTGAGTGCTACTTGTATTCATAGGCTCACCTTTTAGCAGGTAAGCCAGATTTAGATCTACCATGGGACCCAGACCTATAACAGGAGAGAAATAAAGCTCAGCAAAGCAGGCAGTGTTATGCACACACAATGAAAGTTAGCGACACCAGCAACAGTAAATTCATACTACATAGCATCACAAACCAGAGAGGAAGGCTCTGGTGCTGCAGGATTTTCTCGTGACATTTCAGGAGAATCCTTTAGCTCTTATTCCAGAGACTGCACTTATCAGAAAACAAGAGTACACAAGCAGCACGAGAAGCTCCCCAGCAAAGCTTCAGCTACCACTTCAACCAAACAGAAGAACTTGTACCAGGCTCTCAAGACTTTCTGCCTGCAAGCATCCCTTCCATAAGAGGGAAAAAGTTTCAAGAGTCATCTTAGAAAGAAAATCTTCTAATAGCAAGTTAAGAGCCCAGAGTCAGACACAGGTAAGCATGTGGGCCGATTCAATCTTCTGATCAAGTTCCCAGTCCCCTTTTATTCAAGCATAGCAGTTTTTTCATCAGTTATCCCAATGAGAACAGCATTGTAGTTTTCTCTTTGGTATCTTGGCTACTATCGTGTAAACTATTCCCAGTTCATCTTATGAATTAAAATCCATTCAAACAGCGAGACATGCCTGCCACATTTATCATGTTACTCCATCAACTGTTTCTTAGAAAATATTTGTCCTCAGAGTGACAGAATTCAGGCATGTAGTGTTACTGAGTATCAGAAAGCTCACTGTTAACAATAGTCAGTTGTATAACAGACTTGGCCAAAAGAGCAAGAAACTTTTATTCTGTTTCTGCTCGGAACAGTTTTTAAAGGGTAATCAAGATTCACCTTAACCTGGCCTACTAACTTACAGAAACACTACATAGACATTGTTGGCAGAAGTTAAAAATGAGTTATATGCCACTGCTTTTAAACCTTCCTGGTCGCTATGCTAAGCCATCATCTGTCACAGTTCCTAACACTATAACCAGTGGTTTTATTACTTTATCACAGTTAGACAGAATGGAGTTTCTTACAACTACCTAATACTTGTATTTTGTAGGAAAACCATGACTTCCTTTGGCAAGAAATACAATAAGGCAGCACACGAGCATCATCTTACTACAAGAAGTGCTGGCAAATCCTCCTTCCAAGAGGCACAGCAACAGAGCAGGACTGCAGATAAAATGCTCTAGAAGCAACATTGGTTACATACTGCTGTATTGCTGAATTAGCAGAGGACTGGCACTGGCTAAGAGAGAAGAGTTTTCACAATGCTCCCTAACTGCAGTCCTGAACACTTCCTACACAAAGTCAGCATTCCTCAGAAGTGTCCATATGAGCGTCATGTCTTTCATGCACAAACATGACTGTCCCAGAACTAGAGGTCACCAAGCAACCTCAACAGTATCCAGACTCTTCCACAGCAACAGCGTACAATTTGAGCCTGGCTATTCATCTCCTACACTACAGGCCTGTATGAGCAGTAAGTCAGGACAGCTCTAGTAATAAGCATCGTCATACCCATGATCAATGTGCAAGCCATAAAGCAGCAGGCAGACCCCTAAGAAAAGCATTTCTCTTCCCCACATTCTAATGCAAAACAAAAGACAAGTTCTTCCAACTTATCAGCTCTCATGTTCATCACATTTTTATCCTACTCTTATCTTTTGAACTAAGACTTAGCATAAAAGATAGAGGAAAATAATGCAGGAGTGTTTACTCTATATCCATTTTCCTCAACTTCCATTTCAGCATGGAAAACGTCCAGATGCACAAAACCAAGGCTACACATCAGAGAGAACTTTCAAAACACTACTTGTGGCATATTAAGACTCATGGTCCTGTTCATTCAGCCCTCCAAACCTCTGAGGTCAAGTGTCCTACCCCATGTAATAGAGCTCTTAGCCCTACAGCAATTTAATTTTATCTAACTCTCAGAACTGGAACTGACAAGGCTGAAAAGCTACAAGCAAGACTTCAGTCAACAGCAGCAACCTCATCATCACTTTATTTTTCTTTTCTCCCCAGGAACTGGGATTTACAGAAACACATGCTAAGAAAAACCCACAGCATTTCCTGCAGGACAGAAGGTCAAGCATTCTGTAAATGTGTAGGCATTTAAATGGCTTTCAAAACTTCTCTCCATGGACTTTAAATCAACTATATGACAATTATATACTATAATACAAGACTATTATATTATAGTGTATAGTATATAAGCTATATATGGTAGCCACAGACCAAAAACACTTATGTTTATTACAAGAAATAAACCACTCCCTTCATCTGTGAAAAGGCATAAACTCTTAATATTAAGTGCAAAAATAGCAGTGCTGCACAACATTCTAACCCTTTTCAGCCAAACTTCCCTGGGGAAGAAAACAAAAACCAAAACCCAAAACTATTACTGCTTTGAATTAAAACAAGTATCTCACCTGCTTCGAGGCCACACAACAGACCGGGACCTTGAGCGTGATCTGGACCTAGACCTCGGAAAAAAAAATAAAGGAGTTTTAAAAAAGCAGTAAAAGCTCAACTACGTGATTCATTATTTTCTTAGAACTATGTTTTTCCAGAAGTAACTTTTACTAATAGAAAGCTATAGTGCATTTTTCCAGTACTACCATGTAAATAAGAAATGCCACTGGCAGTTGACTAAGCATAATTACTCCCTGTATCCTTGAAGATTAAGTAGGAAACCTCAAGCATAGATCAAGACTCTAACTTTGGTACACTATTAAAATGAGCTCAGAAAGAGCAGTTCCAAAATAATGCGCTTAAGTTTTTAGCTTCAAAGAAAGTATTCCGATTAGCTCTCAGGGATGTAACACCACGAAGGTTCCTGCAGACACATGGTTATGTTCTCTTCTACAATGCTGTGGACTAAACAGAAAACACATGTACCTTGACCTCCTTATAGAACCAGACCGAGATCTGCGAGGTGAAAATGATCTATATCTACGAGGAGAGATTGACCTGGACCTGCGGTAGGAGGCTGACCTTGATCTACAAAAAAGAAAAAAACAACCAAATTTCATGCAAGGTACTTTACACAAGGACTACAGAAAGGGGGGGAGCAGAGGGAAGAGTAGGAAAAAGAAAGAAAACACAACAGTCTGAACTCTACCTCCTACCGCGACTCCGACTGCGTGACCGAGAATACCTTCTTCCTCGGGACCTTGAGCGGGATCTAGACCGGGACCTGGTTTTAGGTTAGAGAATACAGGTATCAGGAAACAGCTGCAGCAATCTCTGCATGTGAAGCCCTGCTGAAGTCAAAACTCATTTCCGATAACTAAAAATAAATTTAAAAAAAAAAACAGAAACCAAAACAACAAAAACACACCACTAGCATCTGTCAGTTGGAAAAAATCTCTGGGCCTACTTGTCTTGAGCATTTTACTACCTAGAAAAATGTTAAAAGCTGAATTACATTGCAGAATTACATTAGCATAGAAAACACTGTAATGCGTATTTAAAATAAACCTTGCAAGTTTGCAGGTCGACCCTCTTTGGCCCAAGGTCTAGCAGATCTAGACGGTCTAGAAGTATCTATAGCCGATCGCTGCATCTAGGTGTTCTCTTCAATCTAACGACGATCAAACTGACAGCCCAATGAGCCAGGGTGAGTGAGGCTTGATTGACGCAAGAAGATTTTTCTAGGTGGGAATGTGGTCAATCTGGTGTTCCTCTTTCTAAACCTGAGGGGGGCCCCAATTGAAAGCCAAATTTACTGTTACGGCGATCACCGTCTCAAATTTTCTGCCCTTAAAGAATAAGGTGAAGCTACGTGTAGATGGCTCGAGGGGATCTGGCCTCTTATGCTGATCACCTCAAGGTCTAGGAGGATCTTAAGTGTCGGATTTGCAAGGCGCCTCAGCATGAAATCTTAAGGCTCGTGACATTCTGAATCAAGGCGACTGACTCAAACGAAGAAACCTGAAAGGTTTTGACCAGGTTGATTATTAAGATATTAACATTTTATATGTATTAGCAAAAAAAATTTACGATATACACCTGTTGACTTACTATATTAAAAGTTAAAATTGGTGTAACATTCTGTTCTTTGCTAACAAGAGCTA